AATTGGCTGTACTGCTGCTGCCATCCCGTTCGCACTTTGCATGTCTCTGTCGCACCCGCTTATGGAAATGGCCAAAAATGATTTCTGCAACTGTCTGAAAAGTTTTCACATGCAGCCTTGGCAGCCATTTTTTAGCTTTCCGGGGTGTTTCTGATGACAAGTTTCTGACTTCATATTTTAACTAACGACTCTAGACATCAGCCACCCACTCACACACACACACACAGACAGAGATTGGAATACAGAAGGCAGGACACATATGGAAAATTATAATTTAGTCAACAATTTTTTTTTAGCTCCAACTGTCTATGTGTGTGTGTGTTTTGTAGGAAAATTGAAGCGTAAAAATTAATGCTTGAGTGCGTTCTGTGCAAAAGACAACACACCGAAAAGGACACAAAACTGTTGACAACATGTAGCAAGGACGACAGTAATGAGTGAGAGAAAGTTCTGGCATTGCATTCGAGGCAAATGTTTTTCTTTGGCTTTTTGCAGGAAAACTATTCCAAATGCACATCCCCTTTGTGAGCAGGAAACTGAGCCATTTGGCTTGTTTATAATTAGGAAAGTTGGAATATTTACCCAGCAAATCAATCGGAAATCGTTGTGAGGGCCCTCTACCAGCAAATTTGCTGAGCCGAAATCAAATTATTTTCAAATCCCAAATCGTACTTCAAAGTATTGCCCTGGCATTGGTTAAACTATTTACCAATTTGACAGAGCGAATCCCTTGGGTTTCCTTATGGGCAGACTTTGAAGTTTTTAATTCATTTCAACCCCCTGGCAAATCCATTCCGAAAACGTTTATCTAATGCTCAAGATCGCTTTTTTTTCCATAGGGTGGAGCTGAGAAGCATTTAACATGCAATTTAGCGCAGCTGCTGTGAAAATTCCGGGATGCCTTTAAAGCCTCGTCGCGGAGGGCGCAATAAATTGCCATTTAAATGAGGCACAAATGAAAAGCAACGAAAAAAAAAAAAATTCTTTCGCATATTTTATGAAAAGAGAACCCTAAAAAAAAATTGCCAACCCCGAACTCCAAAAACCTAATGAGTAGAAACAAAGCAATATTTGCTGGCGAACGCGGCAAATTCCGAAAGCAAATTTGCCAAGAAGAAAAATTACGCATGGAAAATGGGAAAATGCGAAAATATTTCCTTCTCATGCGTTGATCAAAAGCGAGGAACATGCATATTACAAATTAGCATGCATAAAACAGGGCCAAGAATGGAATGGCCAGAAATGGGAGAGGGACGATTCGAGTGTGCCAGGGCATAAAGCAATATTTATGTTCGTCGTATCGCTCGAGGGGAGTTGCGATGAGTTTGGGCCGCGTTTCTTGGTCTAAATTAAGCGTGGAATATGCGTGGAAAAGCTTTTTATTAAAACAGGCCGAACTTGGAACTCATTGTCCTTCAGACAGCTCTTCGGTTCTTCTGGTTCCTTGGTTATGCCTTCATTCCCTGGCCCATGGGGTTGTAATAAAAATTCCGCAAATAATCATTAAGAGTGGGAGTTCGGCATTACGTAAAGGGAATGCAATATAAGACAAGGAGGTGACAAGATGTATGGATGGATTTTGGTTATAACGAAGGTTAAATACTCAAAGAGAGCATTTCCATCATTTATAAGAACGGCTAAAAGTATGCTATAATATCTAGTGCTGAAAACCCCTAATCTTATTCATCTTTGCGAATGGTCGACTGCTGTTCCAGGTGGCCTTAACGGCAGTCCATTTATGGACATTCCTTATTAAAATCTACTTTGCCACAACTTTTCGCTGCATTTGTTTAAATTACTTAAAATGGTAATGCATATAAGGAAGAAGAAAAAAACGTTGGCTAGATGGCAAAGTCTACTACTGAGCTACTTTTGCCAACTGCCAGTTAACATATGCATAGCTGGCCACGCCTCTACCGCCCTAGCACACACACACACACACACACACATACACACTGTCAACAAGAAAACGCCCACATAAAGTTAACGACAGCGAACGAGGGCAAAAAGAAACCAAAAAAAGATGGCGAAATTGTGAGAGAAAATTGTTATTTAATTTGTGTGAGTGCTGAACATTTTTGCAGCTGCTGTTGCTCAACTTCTTGCTGCAAAACTTTTTGCCCAGCACACGCACTAAACTTTAACACAAGCATAAATTTGGGCGTATACTCCTCCCTCTGTGTGTGTGAGTGTGTGTGTGTATGGTGTATTAGTGTGGGTAAGTAAGTGCACTTTGCATTGGGGCCGCCGCGAATCCTTTGGCTTTCTTCAAAATTCATATGCACATTTATTTTACTCACAGCAGCCCGCTCCTCAAGTAGCTGCATATGCAAGTAGGTGCAGCAGCTTCTTCTTTCCTTATTTGTTGCATAATTTCCGCCCACCATCACCGCCTTTTTTCTTGGCTTAAACGAAGCGTAAAGGCAACACACAGGCTGCTGCAATTTTAAGTCACGAGTTCATTAGGAAAGCCCAGGCAAAAAACAAAAGGGGGCAGGCAGCACAAAACTTTCATATGCATAATGAAGATTCCGCAGACAGGCCATGTTCCCCCTTCGCCCACTGCCATCTTCATCTTCTCCGTGGCTCCACCTCCACCTTCGTTCGCTCGGACTAATCAAAAATGTCAACGAAGCAAATGATTGAGGCCAAAGTAATCCCTTTGTCATCGCTTTTTGGCCTTCTCCATTTGACTTGGTAATTATGGACAGGTAATCAGTGCAGCTCACGGTTTGAGGAGCGATTATAAGGTTCTATTGGCCGGATGCTTGCAATGAAACTCAATGGTTCTCGGATTTTTAACATCTTTTATGATGCATTGGAAGAAATAGTTGGGACTTTCAGTTGAGGATTTTTTAGTTTATGATAGAAAAGATGTAGAGGAATATTAAAAATATTAAACAAATCAAAAAAAGTTTGCATTTTAGAAAGTTCCCAATAAAACGCCATTTATAATGTTATCAAAAATCTGATTTTGACCAGTGAGCATCATAAATATCTATCGAGATAGTTCTTTATCTTCTTTTTTTCCCTTCTTATAGAAATGCGAAACTTTGCAGACAGTCGAGGACAACTTTTTCGGAGTTGGTCTTTGTATTTTGTTTAATTTTACAAGCAAACACAAATAGTGGAAGTAACTAAAGCGTCCTAAGGAATCTTCGAGCACACACACACTCGACTCCTAACTAAGGAGGAGTATTTTCTACGCTTCTTGCTGCCGGGCTCTGAATTTAATCTATTGTGTGTAGGTCTCCGCTTCTCCTTTTTTTCTCTCTATTCAACCCTAACTCTCTCTCGCTCAAAGTCTCTGTTATCCTGTCGTCTTTGACTGGAAGCCTGGGAATCCTTTTGCCGTCTGCCACTTGATAAATATGACTATTTCACGCTTCCTTCTACCTACTTCCCCATCAACGTTGTTTATTTGCGTTAAGTGTTAGCAGCCACGCTTGTTCCCAAGCCAAACTGCCCCCGAACTCCCACCCCAGTTTTCCACTTCCCTGGCTGGCTGGTATTTTGTTTATCTAGCACTCAATTTCGCAGTTTTAATGACAAACTGTCTTACCTTGAAATTGCATGCGGGAGCATTATAAGTGTCTCCATTTCGTGTAGAACACCGACAACCTAACATCGACCAACTACTATTGCCCACCACTCACCACCCACTTCTCTCGCTCATCCAAGGCAAGGACTTTGTTTGATTGCTTGGCTTCGCTTCGTCCGGAGATCTGGGAGCCACTGTGTGTGAGCTGAGCTGTTTCATGTTTGGATTGCACTCGAGGGTAAGCTTGGCCAGGTCCTCAACTCATCCTGCTCCTGGCACTCATCCTGCTCCACCGTACGACCAAACGACCGACCGACCGACCGACCACTTGGCAAGTTTTATTGTCTCAATGTCCACTTGGCTTTTGGCTGAAGACAGCTTAATGCGCTTTGCTCCGGGACTAGACAACTGGAGGTGATGTGAAGTCAAAGCAAACGCATTTTCCTTAATTTCCGGCAGCATGATTTCCAATTTTTCTTTCAAATTCCCTTACAATTGTCGTATACTTAATATATATCTGGGCAGCAGTCAGGAGTCAGCAGCCAGGAGTCTGGAGCCAGGAGAGCAGAAGGAAGTGCGCAAGCTGATTGGAATTGCCTTTCGCAATGTCATCAATCATGCGTCGTTTTCCACACGCCCAGGCAAAGATTTTGACAAGTGTCAATGCGACAAGAGAACGAGCGATAAGCCTGACTATAAAAAAGAAAAAAAACCAACACACACACACAGAAAGAAGATGGGGGGAAAACCCTGGGAAAAGCGAGCGAAATCGTTGGGGAAAATCACATGCAAAGTAAAATGTCGAACTTCTGACAGCAAGAAAATAAAACTTTTCATTTGTTTTCCTTGGCTCTGCCGTGTCCCGAAACTGCTGTCAAAGTTTTTAATGTTTTTAACTCCTCGCTGTCACCTGAGCAGCCACCCATTCGGAAAAAACCACCCATCCACTTGCTTCACCTTGCCCCCCCTCACCCCTGACCACCCTCAATGAAAAGTCAGCTGAAACTGGGCCACACCCAATTTTCTCGTACTACTAGCATCACTTCTTTGATTGGGCCGCCAGGGGGGTCATTGGTAGTTACGGTGAGAATGGCTGGGAAAGTGTGACTAACTCTCTGGTGACTATGTAGAATATGAATGCTCAAACCAAATCGAATTATTTTTATCAACTATATATATATTTTTGTGGTTGGAATTTTGACAAATAATAAATTTATTTACCAATCAAAAAGACATCATCTACCTTTCTATGCAGCCAACCAGCATTTGGGAATTCAATTTTTAGCAGGGAAAGCAAATCTTTGACTTAAAGTTCCTTTTGTTTCTAAGCTTATTTTAAAGAATATTTTCTTAACAAAGAAAGCTTCCTTGTTTCCACTTTAATTTACTTTTTCATTAAGGTTTTTCCTTACGCATTCTATCTTAAAACATCTTAGATCGTATCAGATATTTCACTCACCTTTCACTGAAACCGTGACGCTCTGCAGGACCTCCAGCTTCTTCTTATTGGTGGGTGATTGGCCCACACACTTGTACATGCCCGCATCCTGGTACATGACGTCCTTGAGCGTGAACTGGCCCGTGGGCTGGCTGCTGCCGTGGCCAAGGCCACGTAACCGGGCCGAAATGGGATCCAAGTGAGACCAACAGCCCAAGGAACCTAAAGCAACATGAAAGGCAGTGCATAATTTAATTAATTGACTTTCCACAGACTCGCCGGCACGCAAGTTTTAATTTCTTTAATTGATGCGTCACCCCCACAGTGGCCAGGCCATTTGTCTATTCTCCTCGCCATTTTGGCCAAAAAGTGAGCAAAGTAAATTGCACGCATAATTAATTTCCAATTGCGCTAATTAATGAAGAGGCGTACAAAAGGCCACGGACTCGTTCCAAATCGAACGAAAGTAAAATGTAAAATGTAATTACAGCCCAGACGCATTTGTCATTCTAAATGGGCCACGATTTTACCAGTTTTTCTCTCCACCCCAACCATTCGAAAGCATAAAGCTTTCTTTGAAGTTTTTTGGGGCCCAAATGGTTGGAATGGTTAGCCGTTGGCCGTTGGCTGTTCTTTATGCTCACCTTGAGGACACTGCAGGGTAACCGCTCCGCCCAACTGCACTTCCAGCTGGCCCTTGTTGGGATTGTGCGAGGCAGCTGCCACGGAAACATCCTGATCATCCGGCTCCGAGGTCACATCCACCGAATCGACTGCAAAGATAAAGGATACAAAGCAGAAGCCGTCAGTTAAGGCTGCAAACTTCAGACCACATGTGGCCTAAGCATTCATGGTGAGAAAAAACTTGTTGGGTTGGGAAAACCAATTAGGAATTTTATGATTTTAAATTTTTTTTTTGGGATTTTAATGTTGAGATAGTGGTGGATGTTTTCCTGTTTTGATTCTTTTACTACTTTTAAGTATTTTTGTTTTTTCAGTCATAAACATTTGTTTTTATTCCATATGTATATATTTTGTTTCCATTTGTGTAAATTATAAAACAGTTTTATGTAAATTTCTATAAAAAATTGCAATATTTTTATTTTAAACTTAGTACAAGAAATTTAATACAAAAATAAACCAATTTTTAATGAAACATAAATATTATTTTGCATTGTAAGTTTTCCCCAGCTAGCATACATTGTGATTTATGTAGAGAAATATGTTTTTTTCAAGTTGAAAAATCATTCAGTCGTTTATCAAAAAATCGCAATTTTCTTGCCGTGCAAATCCGAGGGCTGTTGGCAATTGTCAAATTGACAATATTTCAATGACAGAGCCAGCAACAAATTGCTGACGCGATGCGAACACCTGAGTCACTCCGCAATGAGTTGTCACTTCCGTTTTGATGCCAACTAAAAGTGAAAATCGCTGCTCAGCTAGCTGGAAAATTGCCTGAGCTGCAATCTTCCTTTGCCGCAAAATTCATAAATACATATATTTTATGCCCATTTCCGGAAGGGGGGCGTAGGAAAGGGAGCAGCCATAACGATGCTCCATTCTAATTTTGAAAGGGGGTAGGTGGAGGATTGGCTCACACACACTCGCATATTTTCCACTTTCCTTTGGCTGGGAGCTGCTGGCTGGGCTGGCTTTAAATTTCAGGAACGTCCTTTGTGCAGCATACTTTATGGCGCTGTTCATATTACGGTATAAATAACAATTTGCCCTGACATGTGCCTAAAAGTATGCGGCCAGGTACGAGGTCCTTTGTCTGCCACCGGATATCATAACAATAAGTTGCCAAGTGGCGACCTGGCGGTGAAAAATGCGATGAAAATGATGATGATGGGGACAAAAGCCTTGAGCCTTACAAAGTGCAGGCAAGAACTTTTGGGTGGGATGGGTGGCGAGAGGAAACCCCACATAGAAACACCTCAAAATACAACTCGGGGCAATCGTGGAAATTAGCAGACCCAAAAGTGAGCCGCACAATTAACAGAAACTACTAATTACCGCAGGGCCTCGAGCCACATTAATCGAAGGCGAAACCCTTGAAGTTACACAACTGTGATTTGGGAGGGGGGTCATTCAAAAGAGAGAGAGAGAGAGAGAGACAATTAATTGTAAGCTTCTTTCGCCTGAGAGACCCTTCGTCGCATGTCAATCAGCCGGCAGGCTGGCAGGCAACCCTCGGAAACGGGGGATTTTATTGCTGACAATGGCAAAAGTCCTCCCCTCTCTCGCCAGACGGGCGTGTTACTTAGTCAAAATCACGTAGTTATAAAATTTTTTATTGCCCAACACAAAGGCGGACAAAGGCGGCGTCGCTCAAATTGACAACTTCAATGGCCAGCAGGGGATCCAGCAGGGAGCGTACAACGACGACAGTACATAGTACTCGTATTCTGGTGCAGCTTCTTTTTTTTCTTTTTTGACTGACTGTAATAAGAACCCTCTGTCCTCGAATGCCCAGCGCAAAATGTCTAATGAGCTCAGCTCGTCTCGGCTCAACTGACAGACATTTGTCATTGGCCAAAAGCTGGCGGCGTGTTTTGAGGCAAAGCGATAAGGAAAGTGTCTTCCAGAGGGTACAGTGGCGGAGAAAAATCACAGAAATTGCCCATCAATTATGCGAATATCTAGGAGAGGAAAGTTTCCAATTTTCCACTTTAACTGAATATTTTTTCCAGTGAAAGTATCTTTCTATATCCTTTTATATAGCTTCTGAAAGAAATAAGCAGAAGTATGGGGGAAGACTGTCAAAAGAACATTATTAAATGATACATTTAGACGCCGAAGCTCTCGAAGTACTAAGCTTAGAAATCGATTCCTTTCTCCTTTTCACAGCAAAACAAACTCCTTCAATATTTTCCCAAGTTTTCCACAAACACAAAAACACACACACTCACACGCTCTGCCATTCATAATTTTGGCACTTGTTTCACGCATATTTTACTGAATGGCCATTCATAAAAGTGTCCTCCCACACCACCAACCCGACACATTTTTTGGGGAAACGCAAAGGAAAACAAATAAACAAAGGCAAACAAATGGGCATCGAGTACCGCCCATATGGCGACATTGAATGAGATTGAGAGAGTAAGAAAGGTCCTCGAGAAAGGAGAAAGGTATGGGGGGAAAGTGATTCTTACCGCATTTCTTTCGAAGGACGAGCCACACTCGAATAAATCCCAACTCATAACAACAGCAAATATGAAGGGCAAACGGCAAACACTAATGCAAACAAGGGGAATCAATATGCCCGTCCAGACTGAGCAAGGAGCTAGGACCATGCCCCATGATTCTGGCCACCAATCATTAATCATAACGCATCATCATCAGCCATGTTGGCGTTTTGCCTTCAAGAACCCTGGATGTTCGCCTGTCACTACCAGGGATCCCATGAGAACTGCCGAACCCTCATGGAGTGTATCGATGTGTCGACACATCCTATCCCCTGTCCGAAGTGTGAATATGACGGGCCGGCGTTATCCATAAATCCTTCAACAAACTGCAAAGTTTCACTCTCAATGGGAGGGTTGGGTTGGGTTGGGTTTTGAAGGTTGATGAAATGCTGTAGGTGAAAAATTAAATTCTCCAGCGGAAGGAAGGAAGGGTATCTCAACAGTTTTTTCCTCTTTTTTTTTTGTTCGCTTGCAATTTTCATTAGCACTCCTTGCCCACCCCAAGATTAATTTGCATTTTTTCCGCTGGCTCTTCATCTTCGTAGTTAGTCATGAATATGAAGGAGGCCGACGAGATGCAGCATCATCATCATCATCATCATCATTGCAGGATACAATCAGCTTAACTTACAAGCTGCATAAACAGCCAGCGGAAGCGGCAGAGAGTAAACTCTCGGGCTGCTGTGATTGCATTTGTGTCTTGGTTATAAATTTTAATTTTCCCTCCAGCCCGTAGAATTTTCAAGACTTTTAGCGAACACGCGATTAATTTGCAATGAGTTGAAATTGAAGATGATTGCGAGTTGCAGGGAGGATTCCGCCAGATAATAGTTTCATCCGAGGATGATGCAAATTGGTGGGCGCCCTGCTCAAGGACACTTTGTCTCCATCCATATATATCCATAAAAGATAATCTCTCGACAAATTTACGTTTATATGCCATCGAAGCGAAGAGAGAACTTTGCGGTCATAAAAGATGCTTTGCTCAAAGACATTTGTACGCAATGAGTTTTTAATATTTCTTTAAGTTGCCCGGCAGAGGAACAAATAAAAGAACCCAAAACGAAATGAGTTTCGGTTTCATCTGAGCCAACGACAAATAAAATTTTATTGAAAATCTTTGCAGAAGGACGAGCGACCCTCAACACATACCGAAACATAATCGCCGGCTATAAAAACAAAAGTAGCAGCGACGGCAAACAAAAAAAAAACTAATAATCGTGCGCGCCGATAAACACAGAAATTCAAGTTGGCCAAAGAGGACAAGGAGCAGGACATGGGACATCTCAAAGTAGGGGAGAAGGGAAGAGGGGGCTTTGAGGGCGGAATAAACAATAAAGTTAAACCGCGATAACCAGCATGACAAAGGATAATGGATAACATGGGCCAGGACGGAGTTGGGGCGTAAGAAATGGCTGGCAATCGAAATGCTTACGATAGCGTGTAGAATTAAATTTTATTGTAATTCGCCTTCGTTTCGGTACGGCTCGAATGTCCTGTATCCACTGGGACTCATATCTCGTTGCTCCCGCCTCAAGAGATGGGTGTGGCCTTCTGTTTGTTTCACCTCCTGAGTGGTTGACTATGCGGCAGAGTCCTTGTGGTGGTGTGTCGTGGTGCATTTTCTTGACAGTTGGCTGGGCAAATTAGTTTAGTGCGAGGCGAATGCAATTTGCACACGGATTTCGGTGGCCGGGTTAGCCGCAAAAGTGACGCCGGGGAATTAGAGCAAGTTGAGAGGTTGCTATTGTCCTGGGACTCACAACCCAAACTACATGAAAATCAAACTTGCACTTTAAGTTTACTGATTAGATTTGAAAAGTATTTGCATTATGTTATTACGTAGCCAAGAAATAACTTTCACTTGGTTAAGTTTAAGACCATAAACCATTAGAAGTCTCCTTTAAATTCCAAGCTTTACCCATGAAGATGGCACAATTTAAGTTAGCTTCTGATTTTCTAGCACACACTCGATATATGAGCTTGGCGGAGGAGCTGTTTGCCATTTTGCTTGACTTGGAAAACTTTCACTAATTGCACATTGTTCGAGCAAACGCCGTGCAAGGCACTCAACATTAATTAGCCCCAATGAGAACTTTAACTCATTAATGAGGCTGGCAAACAGAACTTTTTGGTCAATGGCCCTGGCTTTATGCTTTACCTGAACGTGGCCCACTTCATGGAGTCTTTGGAGGACTCGAAGTCCTGACCCCCAGCGTCACGCTCGCCGCTTCTGTTGACGTACGTGTCAAATTAGCGACGTTTTAACAAGCTCTCCGTGTCCTCGGTGTGTAAGTGTGTCCTGAGTTACGGGTCCGAAGTCGAAGCCTCCAGACGGGCGAATCAATCACGCGAAAGTGGCCGGTGCAGAAAACTTTGAGCAACTGCGTCAAATTGCCTACTTTTGTGGGCCCTCCACATTCCACATCCTGCTGAATGAATCCTCCATTCCATCAATCCCGCCCCCGCCCTACTGCTCTACACTTTTTCGCTGTTCTTGTAGCTTTTGGTGGGGCATCGCTGATTGCTTTTTCATTGCAGTTTGTCAGCGTTGTCCTCGTTGTTGTCGACAGCAAAGTTTTCCTTTGCTTTCCTGCTACCTGGGCTTTCCTTTCTCCCCTCCCCTCGTGCACCCGCTCAGCTTTTCCAGCTCAGTGGCGAGATTCGAAGGAGGAGGAAACATATCGTCAGCAATTAAGCCCGCATTCAAACGTCTGTCTGGGATTTGGGATTCTCGTAGCTCGTAGCTTCCTTCCTCCTTCCCTCACTTAAATGCGATTTATCAGTTTGTCTTTTTTTTTCGGGGGAGATGGGAACCCTCCCAAACCGACTTAAATTTTGGTGCCATTCTGATGCTCCCTCAAAAATCTTCTCCAGCCGCCATTTATCATGGGTCGGGCAGCTGTTTTATAGTTTATGACAGGCAAGTCGTGTCTGTTCTCCAGCCATATCTTATGGCTACAAACATATATATATATATATCGTATATATATTGGTATAAGGGAAACGCCTGTTGTCACAAATGGGGTTTAGATGCCAGTTGGATTTGCCATTTCGGCAGTTTGTTCCATTCCGTTCGAGTTCGATAAAACGTTTTACAAATTGATTTATGTGCTTAACATGTTGCCAGCTCAGCGTCTCTCACAATTAGATTTCGCTGGAAAATGCGCAGGAAAAGTTTTCTTTTCTATGTTTTCCTTCTTTTTTTTTTTCCTGGCGAGCCCCCATCAATCATCGATAATGTCGATGGGACGGGGCCTTCATCTCCGTCACTTCTTGGCCTTTTCGGGCCACGTTTTTGTTGTTTTTCTTTCTTTTTATTATTTTTTGTTTTTATTAATAAAGCATTTGTTTTCCCTATAATGAGCAACGACAGGCGGCTGTCAGGAGTGGCGAAAAAATCTCTCCCTCGGGAAAAGCCTTGGGCCTGGGTTGGCCTAAAAAAGTGGCAACACTTTGTCAAGTTGTTATTACCAATATTTTATTTCTCTCTCTAGTTGGGTTTTCCTTTTCGGCCATGATTGATGAGCGAGCTTTGGGGGGGATGAAGATGGATTTGGCATTGCAGTTTTTCGATCTTTCTCTATCACTAAGCTCCTCCGATTGCATTTGGCCGCCTAATGAACCTGCAAATGAGTTTTCTCGTGCCATATAATTTGATTTGGCGGCTTGATGGGTGCTTTTAGGCCGCCTGTCAGATGCGCAAATTCAATAAAAATATTTACCAGCATTAACACGCGTACACCTCAGACCCTAAAAGCATTAAATGTAAGGAAAACCAAAACCCGCAAACGAGAAAATATTGACAGCAAAATGGCGCGTAAGCATAAATAGTCGAAGGAAAAGCAAAAAGGGGGCAGACGACACCCACTCGATGGCAATGCCACTGCCATAGCCACTGCCACAGCCACTGCCAATGCCAATGAAATTTGCCACATTTTGCATATGACAGAGGGTGGCGCCACAAGGCGCCTCGGAAAGTGCCACAGAACATCCCCGAAAAAATCACATCGAATATTGTCCACAGCGCCATGTGCGAGTGTCGTAAAATGTTTGCCGATTTTTTGTTCATCTTTTTGTCGAGGGTTTTCAGTAATTTTCAGGGGGTTTTCAAGCGTTTTCAGAGGGTTTTTACTGGGGGATGATGTTACAAGTAATTTTACAGGCACAAAACTAATGGGCAAAATATTATCACGCGCCATTTTTAAGGCAATTTCACGCATACGCGATCTAATTTACGGTCTTACTGGATACTCACATCGCACACTGAGGTAATAGCCAATCGACGAGTACTGGAAGTTGAGGTGCCGGGACGTGCACTTGTACCAGCCAGAATGTTCACGCCTTATCGATGTGAAGTTGAGGAAACCATCGCCAGTTTGCGGCACCTGCAATAATCGAGAAATGGAAATGAAAATGGTTGGAAATCAGCAAAAGGTTCGGTGTGGAAGTGGGGTAGTAGTAGGAGTGGAAATGGGAAATGAGTTTGCCTCGTTATGCGTAAACAATTTTTGGTAATTAAGGTAAGGCAAATAGTTTCGCACAAGTTTCGGATTCTCGCAAGGTAGCGACAACTGCACGAAAATCCATTTAAAACTTGTTCCTTAGCCAAAAATCACACAAAAGGCCGAACTCCGATGGGCGGCCTACGAATGCACGCTTCCCCCACGCATTTTCCACTTTTCCCCATTTTTCAATACACAGAAAAAATTGAAAGTTCTTTTCGTTTTAGATCTGATAAAAGCTGTACGAGGGTAATGCCTCAATAGAAGAGAGTTGAGCTTTAAATTTTTCTTAACTAGAAATGTTATTTTTAAGTATTTTTACTAAGGAGAAGAACTAAAAATTGGAAAATCCTTTTCCCTGTGCAGATTTTCATGGTCCCCGAAAAACTTACCGGCGTGTCACCGTCGTCCTTCTGCCAACGGGGAGTACTCGGCGGATTGGAGTCAACGTCGCACTTGAGGCTAACTTCGATGCCCTCGCGGAGTGGATAACCGAAGCCAGGTGTGCGGGATATGGCGAAGGAGGGCGTGTCTGCAACGAGAACAGATGGTTATTTCGGCTTGACTTTTCTGCAGATTTTCGGCGCTATCACCGACTAGACTGTGGCAACATCAACAAAATAGTTTTTTAATTAAAAAATTACTCAAAAGACTACGGGCTACGAACTGGGGCCAAGAAAGAAAAACTTTTATTATTAAACTAAATGCAAATGTTAGGCTCAGAGAGAGAGTGGCGACTGTTTCGGGTGGAAAGTAAATAAGGATGAGTTAATTGTCATTTGAAGTGTTAGCTGAGTGTTTTATATTTAAATTTTAACTTAAGAGAAAGTTTAAAAATATATTTAAAGCCTTAATCAAGGGGGGAGTGGGGCTTAAGAGGTAACTTAATCCAAACTCAAAGCGATTTTAACATAATTAATCCAGTTTAAATAAATTTTTCATTCTAAACATCTAATACCCACTTTCCCTTGCTTTTAAATTTATGCACTTGTCATTTTGGCCTTACTAATTGACTCTGAACTACTGACTAATTAATTAAATGTTTAGTCCGAGCTGGCAGTATTCAATTACCGTAGCGAACCACGTGTCAATTTATACATCGTTCAATTTAGAGTTTCCCATGGAAGTGACTTAGTTAGCGGCATCGAATTGATGCTACCAAAATGTACAAATTCAGCGAGCTCTGTGCTCTTTATTTCGGGCAGCCGCAACTCATTCCAGGGGCTTGTCCAAAAGTAATTCGATATACGATTCAAAATATACAACTTCGATTTCAATCCCAAACTGCCAATCACAAATCCATTCAGTGCATGTCAAAAATCCATCGACAAAATGTAAATCTAAATGTAAATAAGAGGGAGGGATGATCATGCCACGCCCATGCAGACTACCAGTGAATGCATATTCATAGGCATAAATCAAATGTTTTTTAATTAGTGCTGGCCATTTGGCAGGTCTAACCAAAATATGCTGCTCCAAATGGGCCTGCATTCATTTCAATCTTTTCAATTTTTCGGCGCACCAGAGTCGCCTTTGTGGCCTTTTGTAACTAATACAATTTGATTAGGCGTTCAGAGAGAGTGAGAGAGAGGGTCTGTCGATGCCAAGGGACAAATGAAATTTGTTTGTCGGTTGTTTGCCAAACTATTCAATTCAGCTTCGGGAACCCAGTCGATATTGTATGGCCATAGCCATAGCAGACAGCCGTCACTCGTCAGACATCATACATATTTATGAATGGACCCGGCAGTGTGAGTATCTACTATATCCATCTATATGTTAGAGCTACTGGTCTATCAATTTGTTGACTCAAAATGGCCAGCACAAAGGCTAGGAAATTGTTTAACTGTTTTGGGCATATTGTTTTCAGGCAAAAGTACAACCAATTACAGAAACAAACTGCCTGCCTTTTTAAATATTTGTATGCACATTGGCATCTTACCAAATTGCTTAAATTAAAAGCAAAATATTGTCCTAAAAAGGTCTAATTTAAATGGAAATGCGAGTACGTTTCTCTCTTTTACTTAGGCATTTTTTTGAACTTAAATTTGGAAACATTTTGCGGGGCTCAGTGATCCCTGTGCATGTCCTTGATTTGCCTGTCAACTGTCTGCATAAAAATGCGCAAATTAAACGCAGCAGCAGCAGCAGCCATTACAGATACAGATACATAGATACATAGATACAAAGTACAAAGATATGGCCTGGCCAAAACGCTCTCATGTGTGTGCTTTTTAATTTATACAAGCGTAGAGAGAGGGAGAGGAAAAAGTTAGGGAAAGGGAATAATAAAAGGAAAAACAGGACGAATCAGGACGAACTTGTTCCTTCTTTTGTTGAACCCGGAAAACGTTGCGGTTGTTGTTGTTGCTTTGCTCCTGTTATTATTGTTTGAGGCCTTGTCCTGTTGTTATTGCGGTTTTTGCAATTTTCATGCCTGGCCAAAGCCAAAGCCCACACACACCCACACACCGGTATATATACATTTATAGAAAACAGGGAAACATCAAGGACTCTCCTCTGCCATGCAAATCCCGCACGGCTTTTCTATATTTTCCAATCATTTTCATGGCCTCTCCACTACCTGGGCATTTGTCAGGGCATTATGCGGCTTCACGGACATTAATAAAGCAAATAACTGTGGTCCGTCCCCCCAGTATCCTGACGCTGATTGAGACCCTCCTCAGGGCGCTGGCCCTAACCTGGTGGCCAGAACGTGTGTGCGGCTTTTTGCTGCCAATTAGTGCTAGTCTTCCAATTGTCGCCTCGCCTCATCGGCCAACCGACCGGTCGCCAGCCAGACCATTGCCATTGATTCCCAATTCCATGTCCGGTTGCGTCACTTTTGCGGTGTCCACAGGACTCCTATCTTTATTTCCCGGGGTTTTGTTGTTGCGGCTGCTGCTGCTGCTGTTGGTATGCATATTGTCCACCTCAATTGGTCACGATCCAGACCTGGCCAGGGTCCTCACTCTAAAGTGATTCCATTGTTGGGCGAAGGGAATTATCCGAACTGGAAATTGGTAAATGGAATGGTGGGGAATGTGATAAACTAAACCCAATATTCAACTTGGTCACAGTTTGACAGCTTGACCATGGAATGTGAATGAGATTTGTTATACAAGTTTTGAGTTTAATAGTTTCGAGGTCAGCAAGCCAAATCCTTAAGCAGATCACAGGCTTATCTTGGCAAAGAAAGCCCAAGAGATTTATCCCAGCTCAGCAGTATTGTTTTTTGCCTTCTTTCTGAGGAAAAGCGAAGGCCAACAGAAATTATAAAAGATTTCAGCTTAAAGGCCAATAAATACTTTTTACTCGAGGAAAAATGAAAACTGTTGAGTCCTTTTCTCCTTTCTTTCGACACCTTCTTATTTTTTAAGCTAATTGAGAGTCCAGCAATCCTCTCGGGTCTCGACTTTCCATTAATTCCCTTCGCTTTCCCTGCTGCCTTTCCTTTTCCTTGCATTTCAATTGTACGTAGGCGTCCTTTTCCCAACTGTCGCGCTTTTCTTTTCATTTTCCCTCTCCTTCGCCCAGTTTCATTGCAATTTGATTTTATTTTTCTTTCAGTTTCCCATTTTCGTTTTCATTTTTTTTTTTTTTTTTTTGCTGTTTCAATTAATATAATTTCACCTTTGCTTTCAGTTACTCCGCTGACTTTGTTCACTGCAGGTGCATAATAATTTTCTGTTCAGTGTTGTTTTATTACCTGCCTTGCCCTGTGCCCTATCCTGTCCTGGCCAACTCACCCACAGCTTGGGATTCTGGCCTGTTAGCTGGTAACTGGTAGCTCTTGTCCTGGCTTGTGGCGTGTGTTAACTTTGGCAATTTAACTTTTCAATCAACATTTAACTTTTGGTTTTCACTTTTATTTACATCATTCCACTCTCGTTTTTGTGCCCTCCTTAAGGTAATTAAACAAGGTGAGATGCACGTCCTGTTTGGCTTTTATTAACAACTCTTTCTGACCTTTGCCTGATGACTCACTCAGGCATTTGTCATTTATGGGATAAGCCTAGTTATTTTGGCATAGTTTGACTTTTGAGTTGGGTTTTTAAAGAAGATGGGAAGTGGACTTGGGATTGAACTAGCTCAGTTTGAGGATATTTTATGTATTTATGTACTGTTGAGAACTTTTTGCGTCACTCACAAGTGTCTACTGATGTTGATTCTTCATTTTGAATGGTTTAAATTGAATTTAATCAATAAATTAAAAACTGTAGTAATAAAAGGTAAAGGAAAGCTGATTTATCTCAACTAAAAAGTATTAATAAAAACATAAAAGAAGCTGAGAACTACTCAAGAAAGTATAATGCCGTAAAAGTCAAGTAAAAACTGATTAAAGAATGTTAAAATTTTGAACTTACATTGCACATCCAGCAAAAGCGAAGCGTTCTGTCGAATCTTGAGCGTGGGATGTTCCATGACGCACAGAATCCGAGCGTTATGGTGGGCCCTATAGACCGCTGGTAGTCGTGCCTCGCTCTTTGCACCACTGTTGATTCTGTAGCCATCCTTGTCGAGCTGCAAGAGGGCAAGAGGGAAGGGAACTCTGATAAAATTTCCATTCAAATTTGATGCTAAACACTGGCAAATTGGCCCAAATGACAGGCGGCTGTTCGGGCGGCCAATTAGTCAGGCCTGTTATCAGCGCGACATCATTAATTTAAATTAAACTCCAAGGGCAAGGGCACCCACCTACCATACATATACAGATATATATATATATAAAGATATATATATATATACATCGCCCACCCGCTGTGGCTTTGGCATGGAAATTTTGTTGGCACAGTTTTCAATCAATCATCGGGGGGCCGGGAGTGGCCAAGTGGGTGCCATGAGGTTAGGTTTGTGACCAGCCAAACACGCAAATTTGTGGCATTTAGGGTCCGAGCGACAAACACCGACAAACTCACACACTCCCACACACTCTCTTCTCTCTACAAGACAAGTCTTGTGTCTGTGTGTGTGTGTGTATTTGACAGGTGGAAGTGGGGGGTTGGCCTGAAAGTGGGAGTTAGAAGCGACGAGCTGACTAAACTCCTGCATTGCTCGACCGAAATGTCTGCTTTTCATTATGCTCGAGTGCAAGACAAACAAATTTTGGCACAACCGCAAACTGGGTTCAGTCAGTCGTCCGGAAGAGCCGTTGTTTGAGCCAGGAGCCGCTGTTGGCCACACCTAATGTGTTTGCCGGCCGGCGATGCTGTGGTTTTTCCACTCCAGCTCCGAACAGCCATTACCAATCCGGTCAGTCGGGATGGGCCGCCCGCCGCCCGCCACTTGTCACTCATCGGGTTCAATGCATTACCCCCCGGCTTACCTTCTCGCCCTTGATCTCCTCCAGCTCTAGGACCTCGGCGGACACTTTCTGGGCATGCCGGTCGACGCCGGGACTGAGTAGTACCTCCCAGCTGAGAGTGGGTCGCGGATTACCGCCCTCGCTGACGCAGGCCAGGTTCAGCTCGGAGTTTTCCTTGACGGGTACGAACAGGTTGCTGGCATCCAGGCGACGGGAGTCGATCAGCAGATAAGGCGGCTTGGGGCGATCTATTTGGGTGGGATTAAAGAGGGGAGAGTATTAGTAAAATACGTTTTAGTAAATATGGAAATTAATATTTAGTTTTATCCCTGCAAAGATTAAGTCATCTTTTAATACTTAAGTTTATGCTATGACATGCCCTTAAAAAAACTAAATTTCCTTTATTTTAAGATCATAAATCGCCCTGTTTACCATTTTCGGGAGCATGACCTTATCTTAATTCGACGAACGCCGTTTTGCTCCCAGTGCTGCCATGGTCATAAAAGCGAGCATTTTGGCAAACGCCATGCCACGGCGTCACCACTCCCGACTTGGCCTCATCCCTGGCTAATTTGGCAAATGGAACGACCCCCTTTAATATTTGTCTAAGCTGTTTTGGCCAAGTCGTGACTGCCCCAAAGGAAGAGAGGAAAAAGTAGAAAAGAGAAAGTAGGAGGATACTCACCCAGGACGACCAGCTTGACGGGTCGGGCGTTCTCCGTATAGCGCCTCGTGTTCTCCGCCTCGCACTGCCACTTGCCATCGTCCTCGAGCATGACATTGGTGATGGTTAGCGCGCCATTAGCCTCCTTAATAAAGCGATAGTCGGTGACGCGGGCGGTGCGATCCATGGCATGGACCACCTGCAATGAAAGCGAAGAAGAAGGAGGCATCCGGATAAGTTTGTGCGGCATTAAAACTAATGTCATTGGCGGAATTATGCAAAGCGCCTTTGGAAACTTTTAATGCAGCGCATTAAATGGCCATAAATTCTCCCATTAAATGCAATCCGCCCTCCTCCAGCTTGCTCTTCCCCCCCTGCATGGCAAGCGAAACAATTGCATTTAATGTTTTCATATCCATTTATTTACACTCGGGCTTCGGTGGAATTTTATTACATTTTCGCTTCAAACAAACACAATACTCGTAATGACAATTAAATGAGGACGATGGACCATCATTCTGCAGCAGCCACCCCCTCCCCTTGCGTACATGTGTTATCCACTGGTAATGTGGCAACAATGAACTGGCGGCTTAAAAACTGTTACCAATAGTTGTTGGCCATCCAGCTGCCAGTCTGTCTGCCTGTCTTTCTCTGCCCTCGGGCTTAATGCAAACGGAAATTTATGTGCGCATTCAAATGCTTCAGCCGCAGAGCACGAATAAAAATTATGAAGAATGCAAAAACAGAAAAATATATTATATATCCGAGTATGACTATATATATATATGAATATTTGTGGAAATGTTTCGCACGCTTAATGCGTTTAAGTGCCAATTAAATGTCGGGCTAAAAAGAACGTGGTCAGCACGGGGGCGGGCCAAAGTGAAACACAATTTTAATTGCATTTGCAGAGGCGAAGAGAGAGATTAACTTTTGGGCTTGGATTAAGGCGGTCCGAAATAAAGGAGGGCCGTTTGAGCCGCATTAAAATACCAAAATATACACTCTCCATATACACTTGCTAAAGTTTTGGCTTAATATTTGTATTAAATAATCGGGAAATTAAGTTAATTAGCAAAAGAAAATGGTTTTGTGAAACACAAAAGCTGCTTATTAAGAAATTTATTCGGAAAGGGAACCCATGAGCATGATTATAGTAAAGATATTTCCAGCAACTTTTATTTACTGCATTATTATAAAAAATCTATTTTAATTTTTAAATTTAAATCCAAAACTATTTCCCAGACAAATGCTATTTAAATATTAGGAATTTAACCTTTACAAATACGAACAAAACTTCCAAGCTGGGATTATGCAGTTCCAGCTAAAATTCTACACAAAAGCAAGGCAATATTGATCGGGGAAAAACTGGAAAAACATCAGGGAATGGATAGAAAATCCGTAAAAAAATCAACAAAAATCAGTAAACAGAATATTTGTATGGTACACTTCCGGTTCCGTTTGTGCGTTTGCGTTTGCCCATTGCCAGTTTTTGTTACAGCTTACGATTGGCATGGTGTATATTTTTCAAATGCAGTGCAAATATTTATGCGTATATGAATTTCACTTCCCGAAAAATGGTCTGGTTAGAAGGGCGAGAGGGTATAGCCCTCCTCCTGTGCGTGTGGCGACTTCCGGCGCGCATTTGCCGCAGTCGCCGCAGCGGCCATTTGCAGAAAATTTATTAACCAACGACGCATTTGACTGGCAACTGGCAAAATGGCAAACTGGCCAAATGGCAAACTGGCAACTGGCGACTGGCAAAGTGGAAACTGGATTTTGCGTGCCTGTGCAGCGGGGCATTCAGTTGGAAATTTATGAGGTCGATGGCGATCCGAGGCTTTTTGGCATCCACATTCACATCCACATCCACATCGAACGCATCCACTTGCAGAGCTCGGCTAGTGTCGTCCAATGACCAGGCCTTTGGCACCTGGTCGTGTTAGATTTTTCTGGTTTGGCAACATGGCCGCCGGACAAAAGCGTTAAATGAGCGTGGCAAATCCTTGTTTACAGCGTCGAGCGTTTGGGCCGGATTACACGCTCGATTGTTTTGGTCCTGCCCCATTGTTGGCGATCCTCGTGGCTGGTTTTCTGTTTTCTGTTTTCGGGTAATTATGAATTCAGACGCCGGAGCTTTTGTTTTTGCGATGGCGCAGAAAAAAAAGGGTTGCAAGTGGAGTTAACTATATGCAACTGTGTTGTCAGCTGCCACGATTCGCATAAATTGTTGAATATTTCCAAGGCTCACGTGCATAACTTTGCATAATTTGCGGCCATGTTATCGGTGGACAGTTGAGGGTTTTGTAATTCTCTAATTGCATTGTTGGCGAAACTTTTTGGCGATTCGGCGATTTACATTTCATTTTTCGGGCCCAACCGCTGTGTTTGCAGCCCTCCTTTTTTTTTTGCATGAATAATAATGTAAATTTATATCTCATTTATTTTTTTGGTCCACACATTCCCTTAATTTAATGGAAAAAATAATAAATGCCTAATTTTTAGGTAAGAGAACGCTCACTTCATTGACATTCGCTGACAATTAGCTAGAAGCTGCTGCTGAACGAAAGGGACATTCCTTTGGCTCCAAAACCATTCCTAGCAGACGCTTATTTCCTTCAAGTGGAGCAGCCCAGGGAGAGCTGGGAGAGAAATGGCTACTTATATCTATCACTTGCTTGGAATTGCAAAAATCTTGTCAGCCAACATTGCTCACTGACTGTCGCGCTATCTGCGCTCCCTCCCGCTGTTCCATCCTCATCCTCATCCTGAACCTTCTCCGACCCCGAGCCACTAACTTGAAATTGCTTTCGGCAAATATATTAGCCTCTTGATAATTTTCAACAATAAATTCCTTGGCACTCACACAAGCAGACACTCGAAGTGGAGGAGAGCAATGAAGGGAGCCTGGTCCTGGCTCCTATATCCCGTATCCTGGATGGGATGAACTCCTTTAGCTGTTGTTCCCGCTCGGGGACTCTAATGCATTGTGCAACGCTCTAGAAAGTACAACAAAAGTCGCTCATGTTGCAAGCTGTCAGTGCAACACTTGTCGCATGTCATTGCCGCAGTTGCAATGCAATGGGGCTTTCGAGGAGTTTGAGTTCAAATGGGGACTGGGTGGTGTGGGAGCCAAAGACCAAAGTCAATGGGCACAAGGAGCAACTGGGGATAATCACGATATATATATATATATATATATATCTTTAGAGCAGCGAACTTAAAGCCTTTTCCTGGGCTACAACTAGCTGCATGTTGCTGCGGGGCTTCTACTGTGTGTTGCTGTTGGGTTAATTCTGTATCATTTATTTTCGATTTTTTATTTATGTTCTTGCTGGTTTTCCTTTAGATTTCTTCTGTAAGTTTTCTCTGTATTATTTACTATATATAGCTGAGGGGTTTTCTTTAGATTTTCTTTGGTTACAATTTCAACTCTAGTTTTTTGAGGGGTTTTTAAGTTATCCTTTTCAATGCTTAATTTATAATTATTATGAGTTTTTGGTATCAAGCTAAGTTTATGTGATTTAGATCTGGGTTTCTTCTTAGCTCAACTCCAAAGTTTCTTCTTCTGAATGCTGGAATGTTTCTTCTACGTGGCTGCTGTTTTTCTTTCGAATCTTCACCATGTTGCTGCCGAGTGCTGGTATTATGTTTCTTCGGTAACTTTACCTTATGCTTCAGTTGGAGTTCCCTTTTCCAAAGAAGAGCATTACGAGAACGGTGTGCTAGTTTTTTTCGAATCCTCCTCATCCTGCAACACACTCGCGCACACATTGTTGCCGCATCACTGTTGTAATTGCCGCAGCCTGCTCGTTACTGTTGTTCTATCTCCCGCTCCAGGATGGCTCATCCTTGCTCTCGTCCTCTTCTTCTTCGGCGCTTACACATGGCTGGCTTTTGTTTTAACACAACTAATACAATTGCACCGCTGGGAAATGTGCTGCGATGGCAGACGTAGATGCGAGATACGATGGATGCGAGATCCTGCTGCTCCTGCTGCTCCTTCTGCATTGGCGTTGATTTTATTTGCCATCGGAGCACTCAGAGTTGGCAGGAACAGCCGTCGACCGGAGTCGACATTGTAACTAACTTAATAAACTTGTCAAAGGTACAAAGCGGGCGGCGTGTTAGCAACTTAAGACCCGCTTTTCCCCCGGATTTTCCCCCCCAGCTTTCCCAACCTCTCTACTCCCCACTAAGTGCCACCGCATTGTCGCTCATTTTCATTTGGGATTTCTGAGGCTGACTGATTAATTTGCCGGCTTGATGTGATTTACGCTCTCTGAGTTGCACTTGCAACAAGGGGATGCATGGAGCTGTGGCTGTGGATGATGGCAACGTGCCCATTAATGCTGCGTCTTAAGTTCGCTCCTAATTGACTAATGGAGGCTTATCGGGGCGAAGCTAGATAGGATTTATGCTAGCCAAGCGAGTTTGTTGACCTTAAACCTGAGACCCAGCCCATAAATAAGCTTGCCAGCGCCACAAAGTGTGCAACAAGGCGGCTGCAGCCATAAAACTCCTATTTCCGTTGACTCTGTTGCCGGGCTAAGGTTTATGTCTGGCAATTGTCGCCGGGCGAAAAATATTGCCCTATAAAGCCAACAAATTGCCAGACGAGACAATGCGGTTAAGGATACCCTGTACGGTTAAGGCACAGAATCGCAGGATCTGACATATTTCTATCCCAAAATACAAAAAAAAGAGGGGAACATAACAGGTAATGTAAATGCAATCACAGTGCTGACGCGGCTGGAAATCCCTAGTTCAAACTGCTGACAGGCAATTTGGTGGCTTCTAGCGGAATCCAATATGCCAGGCAAATGCAAATAACAACAAGTAGGCAAACAATCGCAGCTTGTTGCCCTAACAATGTTAGTCAGCTTCGCCCACAAGTATGCAACTCTTTTTTTCACGCAGCCACACGTCGAGCTGTTAGTTGCTGGTGTAGCCAGTTGCTAGTTGCAGGTTGCAGGTTGTAGATTGCAAGTGCAACAGCAGCCAGTTAACTGCCACAGACAACAGCAACACTCCGGTTGTGCAACATCAACAACAAACAGCACACCGACACGTACACAAAGTGGCATTGCAATGTTGCTGCTGCTGGTGGTGGTGGTGCTGCTGCAATTCTGTTGCCGTGTTAGTTGCAACTATTATTTGCCCATCAACAACTTGGCCTGCCAGCTTGTTGTATTTACACCTGGACGAGAGAGTACCTCGGTTATGGCCCACACATATTTGCACCAATGCGGGTGCCTACCAACATTGCTCTGGGGCCTGAAAGCCAAATTGCAAGGGGTTCATAAAGTGTGTGGATCAGTGATGACCGACTTGAAGTTTGTTGGACAGAACTGCACCTTTTAAAATATGTTTTTTATTATTAGTATAAATACTATAAAGGTTGTTATTAGTGAAAGAGGAAATCAAAGGACTTTCTTTAACAAATTTTTAAAACATATTTTCCATACACTTTCTCTTTGGTATCAACAATCTCTAGCAGCATCTCTGATGTGCTAAAAGGTATTAAGCCTTTTTCACCTCCTCCTACGAGAGTTATCTCTCTGAGGGGACTAATATTTTTGCAAAAAGTGTATGCAAAACATTCTTAGCACTCGGAAAACTCGGCAAACTGTTATAATTGCATTACGCCGAGAGGTTTTTTGCAACTGTTTGCTTTCGCAATTACAACTCAATAACTTTTGGGCTTTGCTGGCGGGTTAACTTTTACCTCATGTTTTCAGTTACTTTCCTTTTTTTTTTTTTGCAAAAAACAATTTCCATTTCAGACATCATTTGTAGTGGGCGTGGGCGTTCTGGCATGGTAAGAACTCGTAATTAGAAGCCCTCGTAGCTGCATAATGAGGCAATCGAGCAAAAATGCAGCCAACCCTCGAAAGATGAGCTCTGGCAGGCAGAGCTTTTGACATCAGAAACTATCAAATAATAACGATTATCCTATTTGCATAATGCGGCAGTTAAGCGACAAAGGACTAGCTAGAGTCAGACACAGAGCAAAAGCCCTGCCACTCGAGACGTCTCGGCCAGAATAGGAATAAAGCCAGGAGCAGTCCGACATTCAGACAGACAGACAAACAAAGAATAAAGAATAGAGAATAAAGAATAGAGAAATGGTAGTAGGAAGTGGGCAAAAGAATGCAGATGGCTAAGAATGCAATTAAAGTCAGCCCAAGTTGGCGGCTCCTGACAGCTTGAGAGGCTCTTTGCCGAGGCTTAAACTGTAAACGAGGGACAAACTGTTTAGCAAGGACTATCCGCCATCCAACTCACCTGGCCATTCTTATACCACATGCTGGTGGCAATGTCCAGATCCACCTCGCACATCAGCTTGATCTCGGAGTGCTGCTCGGCATAGACCACGGACATTTCCTCGGCCTCGTAGGGATTGGGAGGCACTGGTCGTAGTGGCAGGACCCTGGGCTCCAGAGGACCTTCGTCATCTTCCTCTTCAGCATCCTCGCGGCTTTTCCGCGCGATTAAGTCACTGGTGCTGGTGCCACTGTCGAACTCCTCCACATCATCGATGATAATCACCGGCTCCTTGGGCTTGGGCTGCAGATCTTCGGGCGCCAAATGAAGCGTGGATCTCGGCCGTTTGGCCTTGGTTTCATTGACGGACAAGCTTCTAGTGGCTGGTGAACTTGAGCTGGTGGCCTGAACTGTGGTGGCAACCGCTGTGGAGGTACTGGTTGAGCTGGTACGCAGAATGGAGTCTAGTTCATCCTCCTCCGTCTCGCGGCGCTGCCTTTGTGTTCTGGCCTCCTTGTGCAGGGCAGCTCGGTGGGCCTGATGATGTGGCTTCAACTGCGACCGCCACTTGGCCCACTTGGCTCTGGCCTTTTGGCAGTTTTTGGCGCATTTGGCCGGCTTACCACCACTGCCGCCGCCGCCGCCGCGGTGGTCAACTGCCTCGCCCTCCGACTCGACTGATATGCTTGGCCAACTGAGGCTGCTGCTGCTGGTGGCTTCTCGATGCTCGGAGGGCTTTGTTTTCTGCACTGACTTGGCGTTGATATTCTGTGGTTGTGTATAGGTGGTACCTGCAATCAGAAGGTATGCAAACAGGGTAAGCCAATTAGGTCGATAAGTCAAAGGTGCACGGAGAAAAATATATAATATAAATATATTTACTTTAAGTTAAAAAAGATTTCGGTATTTATTCAAAATAATATCTTCTAAAAAAGTCAAAAGGCAAATAGCTTCCTTTGTTGAATGATAAATCTTTCAAGATGACAATTAGTGAGATATTTTCGTAAGTCAACATCCGGATGAACCTGATCCGGATTTGGTGACTGTGTACTTATTTGCACTTCCAACTGCAATGGAATTTTTGTGTCCCAAATGGCAGTAAGAGAAGAATGATTCAAGGACAAGTTAGGCTGGAGTGGGGTATCAATTACATTGCCTTGTTGCCATGTACAATGCGTTCCAGGGCTCATGCATTTATTTACGAATTTTCAGAAGGCAAGCAGCCAGCAGCATTGATTGAAAAGCCGAAGAAGGAGTCGAACGATGTGGAGTATCCTTTCCCCAAATGTTTTCTCTATGCATGCAAATCCTGGCCTAATCTCCTGCACTTTCAAAGCTATTTTCATGCCTAACTCTATGCCCCCCGTTTGTTGCTCTTTGACAACTCTGCTTATTGTCTCCTTCAGATCCAGCTTCTCAAGAGAAAGAGAGAAAGAGGAATGGTGTCCTGCCATTCTTGTTGTCTTTCTGCTAGCACTCCTGTTGTTGTTGATAAATTTACACAAGTGTATGACAAGCTTTCAAATGGTAATTAATATTCATCTGAGACGAGCAACGGCGGCGGAGGTGTGGAGAACTCCCTTCAAAGGACAACTACCGAGTGTCTTCTATGTTCCCATTCCGGGGTTTGTGCGTTCCGAAAGTCAACTGTAGCCGGCAGCTATCAGATACACTGAGAGGATTAACTTTTATTCGAAAATGGGTAATTTTTGAGAAAAATATTAACAAAGGGTGCCACAGAAATCACGAGGTAAATATCCAAATTGGTAATACATTTTATGCACTTTCCATGCCGTAAGTCCTTCATGAACCTTCATTCTTTAAAAAGAAAACGATATTGAAAAAAAATATATATATATTTTATTTCTTTTTGTGTGAGAATGCGCAGCCAATGTCTGTGGTTAGCTGACAAAAGCAGATTTATCCCGGGGAATAGTCTGTGAGCCCTTTCTTCGCCCTCTCCGTTCTGGCCCTTTCAACTGGCTGGCCCGTGCAACCATTCCCTCTGCCATTTCTCATTGTCTGGCTGAAGCTTTTGTCTTCCAGCCCTTTTCTCGTTTGCTGGGCGTTACTCATCTCTTACTCGGCTGCCTGTTGGCTTTGTGTTTGTAGCTAAATTAAAGTTGTCATTTTTCAAGTGAACGCACAAAAGTGTGCAATGCGCCTAATAAATTTCTGCCTGGCATATCCTGTTATTCGGCCGGGTCCCATAGGCATAACTAAGGGGGGGGCTCAGCGGGGTTAGTTATGTAGTAGTCGTAACTCCCTCTCTTTCATACACACACACACACACTAGCATAGTCGTTAGAGACACATAGACACACATATAAGCGCTAAAATGTTTTCACAACAGCTTAAAAGTCGGCTACACTTTTGGCGAGTATGTGTTTGTTTGCATGCAGCTGTAGTTGTTTGTGCTGTAACTTAAGTTGTAAATGAAGATTGCGTCGGAAATTGCACAGAGCTGACGTTGGCTGGCTTCGTCTTGGTGGCCCCGCCCATCCGCCCATCCGCCAACCGCCCACTAGATGTGCGTGCAAATTTAATGAAGCTGCCACACACACACACACTCTCTCTAGCATACCCACACACTCACTTCTGCACTCACACTCTGGCAAACACTCGAGCATGCTCGAGCTTCAAGCTTTTCTGTGGCATACGCTGGACCGCATAAATTTCTGGATGGGATCGGGATAGGGCACGGGAGTGAGCCCGGGGAGTATAAAGCACTTGGAGTGGATTGTTTGACAGTTGATAAAACGCCGGTGCTTGACAACAATCAAACGTGCCTTCAACACTCTGCTCATTAGCCCCCAAAGGACTTGGGCGACTTTTATTTGTTTAATTTTGCATCTGCAATTGGTTCAAGGGCGTTAGACGGACAAAACAGGATTTGATTAGTGATCTTTGATAATATTTCAAAGTAAAATGATCAGGATATACAGATTTATAGCTCTTACTAGTACCAACTTGATATTAAAAACACTGCGTTGATGATGAAACCCCCAACAAACCAGTTTTTCACATTAAAATGCCGTCCTTCCTGGCAACTCCCATAATTCTGATAATTTATTTACATGAATTTCCCTCAACCATATATATATAATTTTGAACCTATTACGCACGAACCAATATCGTACTTAAAAATGCACCCATAAATTAATTGGCTGCCTTGAGGCAGTGTCAGCCGCTTAATTGCATTGTTTTTCAAACATTTTGCGGAATAATATTGGTTTTCGATTGCCCTCATAAATCAGGCGGTTTTACGCAATAATTGCAAATAATTTTTGTGTAAAAATCGCTTGCCACCGCTTTCCAGGCCTTCGCACACATGACAATTATGGCAGTTCAATGGAGCATTACGTGCGGCCTTATCAATATGCAAAAAAGCCATGTACTTTTATGGACTGACAAAACGATGGAGCTACGCGCCTAAGGGCGGACCGGACAATCAAGCGCTGACATAATTACGCGTTCGAACATGCCTCTATATATATACTATGCATATATGTTCCGCCGATTACGGGCATATCGCAGGGCGTGGGTGCCGATGCCTGTCACATTTAACTGGCAAAAATTTCATCGATTTTCCATGGACTCTTTTTTTTTTTTATAGTATACCCTCCCTCCCTTACTCGCTCCCTTGAAATTTTTTCACGTTTGTCCAGGCAAACATGCAAATGACATCGAGTTGAGTTTCATTTTGTGGCACTACAGCGTTTTTTTCACTATATCAACATTAATTTAATGCACTCGAATCTTCGTGTTTGTGTTGTCTTTAATAATATTATTTTTCTGTAAATGCCAATCGGACCAGATGGATAATTGAAGGGGAAAAAGTTTACTTTATGCAATCATAAGTTGTACTGTGAGCTTTTCATTGTCCTGTTCTCAGTTCCCTTCTAATTAGGTCCTGCTCTCATTGCATATGCCTATTTGCCAACACAAGTGTTTACTTTTTCTTATAACTCCCAGCACTGATCAAAAACTTTAGATATTAAGTAGGTATTAGTGAAATTCAAAGTAAAGTTAACCGGAAAGAGACTTTTCATTGAAAATATTTCATATTTTCATAATTTCTTTCCAATTTTCTTTTTTAGATTTATAAAATAATTAACTTTATTTCTCTCTGTAAGAGTTCCTCGTCCATTTGACTTACAAGCTCTCTCAGCCCGTGCTGAATCACGGCCCAAACATTAAACAATAACTCGTAGGGGCAGTCAATACCCTCAGCTCAACTTAACTCGACTTGGTTGGCTTGCATTTTCCTCTGTTTTCCCTTCGCTTTCCCACATTTTGCTCCACTGTCAACAGACCGCCCCTCGTTATGCAACGCATTCAGCATGGTGCATGTGTGTGTGTGTGTGTGCGAAAGTGAGCCTTGCACCGAGCGTTGATTAGGTTAATGTCCTTAAGGCATAAGAACAGCTGGCAATCCCCCATCTCCATGACCAGGACCGCCTCTCACCATCAACCGAATCCTGAGCAGCTTATGGTCTTCCCACTCCCTCTCTCTGTGAGCCCGGACGTGTGGGTGCTGTTTCTCGTGCTGGTGCAATGGTGCAAGTTGCACCTGGTGAAACCGGAGAGGCGGCTCCTGTATGCAGTCGCTTGCCTTGTGCATTGTTTAAGTTCCACAACGTCGACAACTTTGCCAACCGCCACTTAATGCAAGCGCCGAGTTCAGAGTTGCTGGAGTCCATGGAACGGTAGGCGGTAACGGATCGGATGGGGAAAGGAGGAATAGGGGGGGTGGAGGGCGTGGCACTACTGCACTTTGCCTGGTATGCGGTGGCGGCTTTTGCGGCCAGCCAGCAAACAGCACAGGCAAAAGCAGGAGCAGCAGCAAGTGCAACTATACACCCTCTCATTACTGCCAATGGCAACTAAAAGCCTTTTAATCGCCCTGAATGTTCTCACAAAATTATTGTGTGAATCTGGATATTTGCCCGAGTTATTCGATGCGAAGGTTGTCGAGAAATTAATTGACATCTTACCGCATTTTGCTGGCTTCACTGGATTCCTTCCATAAGTGGGGTGCATGATATTAACGAGAATTGCTGACGCAATCGATTAATTAGCATTTTGCAAAAGGAACTAACCTCTCTTTATAATCTGGATTTTCACTTAAGCAATGATTAAAGTAAACCGCATTTAAGTTTCATGTTTCAAGGCAAAGGGACTTTTATTTACTTAATACAGCTTTTTATTACTTCATGTTGCTTGTTCAGGGTGAAACCTTAAATTCCCAAAGAGAAAACCCAGTCTGATATAACTCCTGGGATATTTCGTCAGCTCCTTTCGCCAACTAAAAAGCTACGTGATGCTTTTTCCTGCCACTTTTTGACTGAGTGGATGGCTGGGAAGCTGCCTGCTGCCTGGGTTCTTTTTTTACGATTATGCATGTCGGATGGCAGACCTTGTGACCGTACGTATGTGGCTATTACTGGGTAGAGCTGCCACTTCATTGCACAGGCGGCAGGCATGTTGTTGCCTCATTACACACACACACATACACACACACAAACAAACGGAATGTGAGGACAATGTCGGCGACATTTACACAATGTCAACTATGAATGCAGGACGGCAAGGCGGTGCAATTGGTATCCTTTTTGGCCAGGTGCGTTGCTCTGTCCTCTGCTTTGCAATTGTGTCAAATTAATTGTCAACTGTTGTCGTTCTGCTCTACTTCCACTATCTTCCCCCCCCTCTCTTTCGCAACAGCATCTACCCATCTCTCTCTCTCTCAGTATGCCACACACCCTATAGTGTGTGTGTGCTTTGTGAG